AGGGTTTGGACATTTTTAGCTTGTAGCAAGAAGTTTATAGCGTTTGTAGCAGGACCTGGTCATAATGAGATATTGGTGTAGCAGCATTGATCTTTTGCTGCCAAAAAAGAAACACTGTCACACTTTTACCTCTTACTTGATCAGTGAGACGTAGGAGAAAATTTCCGTTGACTTTCGGTAGGATACTAGATGCGGACGTCCGAAAGCACAAAGCGATTATGTTACAAGAGCAATGAGACAAAAGGATGTCTAACACACTCGCCTGTGCAATCACCAACGTTTTTTATTCGCCATATATATAGCGAATAATCACCTTGTCAAATGGAACCAACAAACAACCTTCCTAATTTCGCGCTGGTATAATAAATAATGGTTTTATTTTTTGCTACACTTAATCGATTGTAAAGAATTCAAGTCCTTCATCTTTAACTTGATCCTCTGACAATCCATGCTTTTCTAAAAATTGCAGACAAAAGAGCAATTGCTGCAGATATTCCCGAAACTCCTCTATGTGCTCGTCTTGAAACATGTCGGAAGTGAGAGTTGGTGCCAAATTGTTTTCCAAGTCTTTTCGCGTCACACCAGTTGGAAAATTGTGCACGATCAAAGCTGCGTACATAAGTAAAAATACTCCACAATCCGAGCTGTTGCGTTGCAGAGGAATCTGAAACAACAGGTTTATTGCCAATGAGCGTATGAGCGTGAAGAAGCATAATCATGTTTACAAAACATAACCTACATTTGGCTCACAAAGAATGATACTACCAGAATCAAACACTGACACAATCGACTCATCCTCAACAAACCCATCATAACTACCCGACACAATACCAGCACTAGAAGCATACCGTGCTTTCCATTCACATTCAAAATAATCGCGAAGCATTTCTGTAAACTTTTTTTTGCGATGGCAGCGAAGTGAATCTAGAAATAATAGGCACGGCGGATTTGCAAGTCGATCATCTTTACTGGCCTGTAATTCCTCTTCCTCACAATTTTTTCCCAAAACATCGTTTTCAGGTGCTGACATGGCATTTTCTTCAATTCCATCACTGCCACCATCACCATCAGCTAAATTTACAAATTCCCTCTCGTATGGGTTGCATGCGGTAGTCATAACGTGGCGATTAATGATACGTCGATGCTTTTTAATGACCGCGGACCCGGGGTTGCAAAATACAGCAATACTCCAGTGAAAACTATACAAAGCACCACGACATAGTTAAAATGTTGAGCTTTCGCTTGATCAGACACTGCCGACCAAATTTTGTCTACCTATCGTTTATCGGAATAAATAAAAAACGTTTGTCAAACAGATTGGTCTCCTTTTGTGTCCAGCGAGCTACTCGCGCAAACCGTTCATTCGAGTCTACTCGAGTAGAATCAAAAGCTCCTTTCGTATTATTCAGCTGAGTAAAAAAATGCGTGGTGAAGAAGTACGTCTGTTGCTGCTGCCACGAAGCCAAATGTCGCCACAAAAACCTGTGCCATTTATGCAGTCAGAACTTCAGACTCTCGTATAAATACACGTGAAAACTTGCCTTAAATAAAAGTCAATGATATTGTCATTCAGATATTCTCCTGGCACAAGACGATCAACATCACCAAGCGTCACAGATATCCTCCCCGTAACATCCAAACCATCGTAAGGATATGTGAGCAACACTTCATTACGCCGACCGTTTAACTTTCTTCGTTTTAACTGTTCGTCCACACACTGACTTGCTGCTACGCTTTTTCTATTCTCAACAATATCCCTGAAATATCCATCGTGTTGCAACGATACATCGTCCACAAACGCAAGTCTCATGTGTTTTTCTTCTATTTCTGTGTTTTGCTGTGTAACAAGAGTTTCGTTACGTGTGACTCCATCTAGTCCTCGATTTTGCTTGCCATTGTGATTTGCAGTATCTATCAACGTTTTATCACCATTATTCAACATCGATGCGATATCCTTGCTTAAATCAGTGGCCACTTCTTCGTCTCGTTTTAGTGTCAAATTCAGCGCTCTTCTCTGAGCATTATGATTGCTATCCCAGATAGGCGACGTTTCGAGAATAGAAGGACGTGACGTTGGACGAAAGAACAAGGAAACACTGTTTAGAGCAGTTCTAGCGCGATTTCCAACAATCGATGCCATGCCACGGCCCACTGCACTTCCAAAATTCGAGTTAATTGGGCCAATGCGATTTCGGGACCTACTCGAGGCATCGGATCTCAGATATTTCTGTGCTTCGCTCTCGCTGGGTGAAACAAGACTCGAAGTCAGGAGAATTATACAATTAAAATCAAGCGCGCTCGCCAACCTACGGTAACTGCTGTTGAAAAAGATGCTCCAATCTTGGATTGTTGTCTCCCATACTCTGGCAGCGCATATAATCAATTTCCTCATCAAAAAAAAACACGATACCATACAGCTCTGGCCACGCCAAATTCTGATGAGAAACTTGATACCAAATCGCCTATCAATGAGCAATGTAACGTACTTGGTGATGCTTGTTCTCTGGCTTCTTCTTCTTCGCATACTTTAGCAAAAATTGAGTCGTAGAATGTTGCAAAATCCGACCCATTCCGCAAGTTATTGAGCTCAAGTAATAAAATATATGGCGGATTATTCCCTCGTGAAAAACTGGCAACATAGCATACAAGCCAAATGTCATTTTGCTTATCTTTTATAATCGACTTGGTCCGTACCAGAATCGGTCCATATGTGCATATTTTATCTGTCCCTGCCAGTGTGCTTTGTTATGCTTCCAGATCGTCAGCTCTACGCGATCTTCTATAAACTCGAGCTCGCAACGATCAAATTTTTGACCACAGATGTCCGTTCGTGCAGCTGAAATTATCTCGAAAGGTTCGTCCAGGACTTGTGTGCTGCATTTACTGATGCTTGAAAAAGAATTTCCGCTGATTTGCTGCTTTGGCTTGGATCGATCGTTCACATTATATAAAAAATTGCGTCTTTCGTCCAATCGAGTGACATAGCTACTAGGGAATTCTTCGTCGTCTTTCAATTGATTCTCGCGGACAGATTGGCGTATTGTCATTGATAAGGATCGCTTTAGGTTAATAGATGTTGCAGATGTGCTTGATGGGTGACTCGAAACTGATAGCTCACTGTCGGATGAGGTGAGTGCGGAATGCTGGTAAGTTGCTAGAGGCTCAGGGTCTTCTGAGGAGTCGCTATTTACATCGATTGGAATCATACGAGATGATGAAGATAATCCTTCATGGAATTGAAGACTCGTAGACGCCTGTGGAGCCTGGATTGGTGACGACGAGTCTAGACCCAGCCGCATCGCTTCTAACGATAGCAAAATTTACGCAATGTCATTATTATGAATAATGACCTCAGACCTTGTTTATCTGTATCACATTTAGAATTTCTGAGATCGACAGTCCTCCTCGGATTCGCTACGTACCCACAACGCAACCGACGCTTATTGACGTTGTACATGCGTGGAAGCTTTCTCAGGACAGGCAGAAGGGAAAGGTTCTATTCCGGACAAAAATTGCTGCAATACTGGGGAATACGATTGGTACTGTAGTACTATCAGCAGCTGGCCCCGTCGCTCAGCCCGTACGTGTACATAGACCAAAGCAGAAAAGGGAGCGTGTGTTCCATATGGATAGGCTGGTAAGTTATTATTATTATTATATGCAGCTATAGGCTTGGTTGGGTTAGTGGCGCAACCATCTGCGTGCAGTAAGAATGGGATTTCCATAAATGTGCATGATGGCAATTTATATATAGAAAACGCTGGTCAAGAGTCGGCTGCCTAAATAAAAATGAAGCGCCTTTTCCGAAAGGCCTTGCATCTTCCGGTTGATGTGTACTAAATGTATACCTCACTCATTGTAATTGTCTTTAGATATCCGGATTTAATGATAAGCAGTCTCTAATCCAATGACCCAATAGGCCATAATCTACGAGCAGTTACACAGATGCCGGCTTCCTCCAGTTTTTTCTCCTGGACACTCTTTTTGTATACTCCTATCTGCCCCTGTCCCAGAAGCAAGCGAGGGTTTTTCTTCCCCCCCTTCATCGCCCTCATTCTCACTTCATTTCCGTTTTCGCTTGGTGGCGCACAGCATATCTGGTTCGTCCCCTCCTACCTCTGCGCCTAAACGTCCAGCATGGTTACCAAGACCTCCACGACCTCTAACGCACCAGCTGCTGATACCCCAGCCAGTGTCTCTTCGGCTAGCGCCACCTCCACAGCGACGGCCTCCTCAACTGTTGTAGCCTCAACACCGTCCCCGACTCCCAGTGACTGCCTCAAGACTACGCCATCGGGTGGGGCCTCTCCATCTAGTGTGGATGTATCTCCCGATGACTCGGTGTTGGCCTCGCACCCGCGCTTTTCTCGGGTTTCTCCTGTCGTCTTACAGAGTGTGAAAGCGATTACCTACCGGAAGAGCTGCCTGAAACGCTCTACCCTATCGGTTTTACCTCTCTCAACGGGGTCAGCAGATGGAAAGCCCGCTAAAAATGTAGCGGAGATGACAGAAGTGAAGGTACAGGACATGAATACTTTTCAAAAGAATCGCCGACGCTGTTGGCAGTGCAGGGCGAAAGTTGGCTTGACGGCTGTTAAGTGCCGCTGTGACTATACGTTCTGCGGTAAACATCGGTACGCAGAGGAGCATAACTGCGCGTTTAATTTTAAGACAGCGGGGAAGCGCAAACTGCAAGAAGAGAATCCTGTTGTGGTTTCTGCTAAAGTCGCGCGTATCAACTAATTTGCTAGGTTGAGAGACTTGAAAATTTTCCAGCAGGTTTCCCCATCCAAGACAGTTTTGAATTTGTGGGTCTTTTGGGCTGTTGCCTCTGCATCGCTGGTATGTTTGACAAGTTTATTTCTCGACATCTTATAACTATAGAATGAAGTAATGGAGTCGATCCATGCAGCGTTGTCTGATAGGAGCGAAGTGCGATTGGCTGCCCCAGTAATAGTAATAGGAGGTCGGCGTGCCTCGCGCTGTACTTCTTCATGATTCGCTACGGTCTTAGCGTAGTGCACGCCCAGATCGACGGAGTTTAAGTAAAGTAGTATTTTTCAACTATATTGTCTGTGTGAAATTTTTGTAGCCCTGTCGAGTGTGATAAAGAAAAGCATGTTGCGGTTGTGCTTTGTTTGCAATGAAATAAGCTGCGCCTATGTTATATCTGCCAGAACTTCTGGTAGGTGGCGCTTCTACCTATGCCAGAAACTGCGGATGTCTCTCTCTCTGTACATGCACAATCTTACAATATACTAAGCGGCAAGTTCTCCGAGCAGTGCATGCGCCTGTCTTTAGACATGTTGCTGTTGCGGACGGCATGAAAATTTTCATGAGGCATTGCTCAATAATATTTTCGATTTCGAGGTATACGCAATCAGGTCAGAATCTCTTGGGTAGGGAGGGTGCTGGTGCTATCATCACTGCGCACTATGTTTAATTGTTCAAAAATGAAACTCTTTAGTTCTTGCCAGTGATTAAATATTGCTAAGACGGGAAAGCGAAATTTGGGAGAATAAATTATTGTATCGTATAAACGTACCATTTATAGTCGCAATGCAAATGTGCCAACAAATGTGAGAAGCTACGATGCGTAAGCGCAAGTCAGGAATTGCATGGTACCATGTGTCTTACATGTAATCGTGATGTGTCTACAACAGAAAGTTCCGACTAGAATTGCAATTGACATTTTTCGTAAATTCGCGATTTGTACTCATACCGACCGCTTTGGCAGGTTTATAGATCTTTGAATCTCTTGCCAGATACGAACGCTAAGCTTTTCAGGCTTGGGCGATGGCACGTTCGCTTCGATTTCCATCTCGGCGAGCTTACTGGCTTCTTGCATACTGGTAGAGCACGCGCTGTCCCATTCTAGAAAGTTCTTTACGACATTGGGCATCTCCTTTGGCACTTCAATCACAGCACCGTTACTTACTTCGGCAATAATTTTGTAAGGTGACACCCGACGACGATCTTTCATCATGACACAACGCACAAGCCCTTCAGCAAACTGTTTTCCAGTCGTGGGATCCTGAAACCGATGTGATAAGTAGAGCCAGCTGTCATCCCAATACACCACTTGCGTCATGATCTCATACGCATGGAATAGTGGAATGGCGTGGCGATAGCGTATAGCTTCCCCAATGAACGTAATCGAAAAGATCCTCTGTCACCACGCTGTCGGTCTCTCCAA